CTTGTTTTACAATGAGATCTAATTACGTGACGTCAAAAGCAGGGTTGACGCTTAAGAAATAACAACTACGTGTTTACGCTTTAGTTTAGAACTCTTACAATTCAAACGTTATAATTTGAGACACGTTTGATTGTAATACAGGGAAACTCATCGCTTCACTGCATCGTTAATCTGAAGTGGCAAAACGAATTTTCACCCAGCTTATGACATCATGCATATCAGACCAAGAATATGCATATCCAAAATGGCGGATGGAAGATAATTTCATTCGAAAATATCTTGAGAAGTAATACAGTTAAAAAAATCTTTAAACGAATTTTTTAAATAATCATGACTTTCTTTTAAAATAGAGAAAGATAATTTTTATTGCCGTCTCCCTTTAAGTTGGATGGAATATATATTTTTTCATAAAATATACAAAATTTAATATAAATTACCATTGCTTGGATAGCCCGAACCCTCCGTACCCAATTCCAATGTACATTATTTCGTAAAGATGTGTAGATTTGATAGGAAAACAAGACCAGTTGCCTAAATGAGGGACATTTTGTATTAGAATAATGTCTTTATTAGAGAGATGTCTGCATACATTAGAGAGATGTCTGCATTAGAGAGATGTCTGCATTAGAGAGATGTCTGCATTAGAGGGATGTCTGCATTAGAGAGATGTCTTCATTACAGAGATGTCTGTATTAGAGAGATGTCTGGATTAGAGGAATTTCTGTATTAGGAGAGAGATGTTTGCATTAAAGAGATGTCTGCATTAGAGAGATATCTGCATTAGAGAGATGTCTGCATTAGAGAGATGTCTGCATAAGAGAGATGTCTGCATTAGAGAGGTGTCTGGATTAGAGGAATGTCTGTATTAGGAAAGATATGTTTGCATTAAAGAGATGTCTGCATTAAAGAGATGTCTGCATTAGAGAGATGTCTGCATTAGAGAGATGTCTGCATCAGAGAGATGTCTGGATTAGAGATATGTCTGCATAAGAGGGATGTCTGCATTAGAGAGATGTCTGCATTAGAGATATGTTTGTATTAGAGAGATGTCTGCATTAAAGAGATGTCTGCATAAGAGAGATGTCTGCATTAGAGAGATGTCTGCATCAGAGAGATGTCTGGATTAGAGATATGTCTGCATTAGAGAGATGTCTGCATAAGAGAGATTTCTGAATTAGAGATATGTTTGTAATAGAGAGATGTCTGCATTAAAGAGATGTCTGCATAAGAGAGATGTCTGCATTAGAGAGATGTGCGCATCAGAGAGATGTCTGGATTAGAGATATGTCTGCATAAGAGGGATGTCTGCATTAGAGAGATGTCTGCATTAGAGAGATGTCTGCATAAGAGAGATGTCTGAATTCGAGATATGTTTGTATTAGAGGGATGTCTGCATTAGGAGAGAGATGTTTGCATTAGAGAGAGGTGTGTATTAGAAAGATGTTTGAATTAAGAGGATGTCTGAATTAGGAAGCTGTCTGTATTGATGAGATGCCTGTATTAGCGAGGCTTCTGAGATGTGTTTTGGAAGATGCCTCTTAGAGGGTAAATCTATAGAATTAGATTTAATAACATACATCAAAGGCCGCAGAGACGTCTTCGTAGTCTTCCCACAACGGCGTAATACCACGTTTTCTTCTCCCCAGTGTTCCCAATTGTTGCACTTTGGGTTAGAAGACCATGTTTTGCTTTGATGCTCCTGTAGATATGGACGGACCTGAAACAAAATAAAAATACTATACAATCATATACAAAAATATCTACTAAGTGAGTTATTTAAATACTTCATGCTACCGTGTTTTGCTGCCAATTTTACAATAGTTTCAATGGTACCGTAGAGTAATCTTTCTGTTCACCTTATCCTTTGAAAACTTGTTCCCAGATTTCAAAATGTGAATGCTTTTGTCCAGGGCCACGTACGCCACACGTGATCCGGGCGAAGCCTTCAATATCAGCTTCGCTTTTTCTCCCGGTTCATTCTCCGCAAAACTCACCGACACCTTCAAAAGTGCGATCATTGAAAAATTATACGCTGAACTTTATACCTTAAAGTGATCTGATGTTGTACAGAACTCATGTGAGTAAAGTCAAGATTCTCCTATGTTCTCTCAGTTGACTGAGTTGAGCATGGTTAGATCATGCAGAGGTAGCCCATGTCCTTTAATGTGAACTATATTTAAAAGGGAGTCTCTGTGTAAAAGCGGACCACTGGATCTGAGCTTTTTGACCGCCATTTATCTATATATATTTGACCGCCATTTTATTTCTATTATCATTTGTTACCTAGCAGTAAGTTTTGAGTTGGTTAAAGCCAAATATAACTTCTAATAATTTATATTCATTAACAATGGTTACAACAATTTAACCAACTGAGTAACATTTATTCATTTAAATGGATACTTTGCTGAAACCTGTTCGTTTGGACTTCGATCCTAACTTTCCATCTGCAGCTAAGGAATGGAGGCATTGGCATAAAACATTTTCGTGTGGCAGCAATGCTTCGGATAAGTATAGAACTCAGTTAATTATGTATCCCATAATGTGTATGAATATATTATTGAGGTCTGTGAAGATTAACTAAATTGTTTATTAAAACGCCAAACTGCTTGTTGAATTTATTCAAGAGCTTTGTAGATTAAGTAAGGATTGTAATCTTAAGAGTGTTACTGCCGAACAGTTTAGCGAGTATTACTGTCTTCTGTATTAATTCGTCAGTGACTTTTGGAGAACAGTAAACTAGATTTGAAATCTGCTTTTGATCAGACTAATGCACTGGATTTGGTGCAGAAGAATGCGGAAACATATGTGGCACCCAATATTCCTACTGCTGCAGCAGTAGCAGGAGTCCCTTGAGATAATTGAGATATTATTTAACTGTCTAAAAGTAGGAAAGGTTTTAATAAACTGTAAAAGTTTCAAGAAAATAATGCGTATTAGGAACAACGCGCGACCTCTAAAGTTGACGTATATTTCATTGCGCGCACTGGATTAAATACATCCTTGCTTTTAGCGTGACTAATCTCATGCAAGGTTGGGCAAATGAATAAATTATATCGAGAAACTGAACACAGAGACGAATCAATTTAATAAAAAGATTTTTTAGTCTGAGCATGGTAAAAAATTTTGTCATTAGATCGCTTTGTCTTTGTATTCAATTTCTCGCTTTAATTTATTCATTTGCCCACCCTTGCAAGAGATTAGTCACGCCAAAAGCAACGATGCATTTAATCCACTGCGCGCAACGAAATATACGTCAGCTCTATAGGGACCGTGCGTTGCTTCCAGTATGCGTTATTTTTAGCGAAACTTCGACAGTTTAATGAGTTTATTAAAAACCTTTACTACTTTTAGACAGTTAAACAATATCTCAATTTCAGCTTCACATTTTGGCGCGCAAACTGGAAGCCCTCTCAATATCAGTGGATAAGAACACCCCTCCCGGTAACATAATTTTGTTAATGCAAAAACAAACTTGCCCTAGGTATACCAGATAAGTCTTAACTATGCCTAGGAACACAAAAATTTTCCAAATTTTGCAAATTATCCTGAAAAACGAGAATTTTACATTCGCGACACTTTTTTGATGCACCCTGTATAGGCACTGCTCGCATTTAAGAGACATGTCGCCATTATGATCTAATTTAGCCTAATTTATGGCGTAATAATTCTAATAAATTTCGAGGCCATTGATTTTCCTGCATTCTGATTGGTCAAAATTCACTGTCTCTGAAGTGATAGTCACTGGTCAGTGACTACAGTTTTTTGTTGTTGTTTTTCAAATTTTACGTAATTATAAATTTTTTTGAAATTATGTTGATTATTATTTGTAACACAATACACTAAAGCAATTAGTCAGACACCTTAGGCTCGGCGATTAAAAGCCTATATTAACTTCGGCTTCGGCTCAATTAAAATGGGCTTGTAATCACCTCGCATTCTGCGTGGTAAATTTGTATGGTGGAAATTATGGAGATTAAATTATGGAGATTATGGAAATCATAGTGGAAATTTGTAGTTCATGGTATGAATAATGTATCAGTTTGTAAAGTGTCTACTGTTAGTTATGAAAAGTACGCTTTTTATTTGCATTGAAAACAATAGAAATAAAACATTACAAATTGATACAGAGATATATACTAACAGTACGTGTTGCAAAACAATAATCGTTTACGATATCAATATCCTGTGGTTACTTTAATTTCCTCTTTTCGGAGCGGTGCGCTGGCAAGCCCTAAATTGTCTCTTGATATTTCTTATTTGACGCTTCATCGCCCTTCCAGTATACTTATAGATTGTCGTCCCAGAATTCAGCACAACCGTAATCTTACGGCCGTCATCTTGGAAGTAATTGTTTCGACCAATCACAATGGATCGTTCCTTGTCGTAGATCTCATCGCATGGACAGAATTCTGGAATGTGATACTCCAGGTTTTTTTTCATAATACGCTCTCCTTTCTCCTTCGAGTCCGTGGAGAATGCGTAGACAACTCTGAGCATGCCTTGTGAAGATTTCATTCTTGTCACTGAGAAACGGAATACAAAAAAAAAATTACCCAAAAATATGTGATAATGCTCATTATTAAAATAATTTTAATATATAATTTTTTTACCAAAGAATAATTCTTTTTAGTGTATTTACAAAGGTGATTATTACACTTTTTAGAACGCTTTTCAACTTTCTTCTGCGAAAACGATGTTTCATGTCAATCACCGTAAAACTGTCGGGATATTTGTTTACATTTGCAAAACATGTATTTTCTACAACAGATTCGTTTTTTGAAAAAATCACCTTTTAATTATAATAAAACAATTATTCACCTCAGGTTCAGTTAATATCGCCAAATAGAACCCCCAATTTCGTCTCGGTTTTTATTGAGCGATATTCACCTTCGGTGAATAATTGTTAATTTAGGGCCGGGTAGGAAGGACAAGGTTTGATAACTTGCTAGCAGAACAAGGGGATGTTAACTCACCGGTACTGTTACACTCAATTATAGCATCCAGGATTCCATCTGGATTCTCCAAAGTCAAACATCTTGGGCACTCAGCGCCAACTTAAAAATAAATGACAGCTAAAACATCGAGCTGACTCCATTAAACGCAGGGTGAAATATAGAATTGCCACTGGTGGATTTTTCTTCCCATGTGAAATAATATGAAAATTTGGGAAAATATGAAAATTCCCAATATTCAAATTAGGTATTTCGTAAGAAACCATGATCTAGGTTCATGTGTGTATTTTACACACCTCTGTTGCCATAGCATTCCGTCTCACCAATTCTGTACATCACTTTAGCTTGGCGTTCTGTCAAAAAAAGATATTGATTTGAAGACACCAACTTAATTAGGATGTTCAAAAATCGAGTGAAGTCGGATAAATGAGTGGACGGTTATCTTGGCAAGCCTAGACCGTGCATGCAAGTTTCCTTTATTAGAAAACTTGGTATTCATGAATTTTATGCTTTGAAAATATCAGGATAACTCGAAATACCGGGACCGGTTGTATCAAAACCGGATAGCACTATCCATGAGATTGTCGTTTTAACCGTTCTAAGGCCTGAGTCAAAAAAAAAACTGTTTCTTCACCTGGTTCATAGTAATCATAGACTTGAACAACAGCATGTTTCACTTTCTTGACAAGTGTGTCTTGGTGGATGTCAATGGAAAAAGTAATATCTGATCTACATGTAAACACGGAAATATATGTTGGTAGTAGAAGCTAATTATTGGTTCAGTCATACCGAGGAACAACACTAGATCAATAAGAGATGATCCTTGTAAGATCTTGCATAGAACTGATAGAGAAATCAAGATATAGTAACCTTGAAGATTTACGATAGTTACCTCATCGAAATAAAGCTGTACGTTCTGTCCATCAATGTCGTAACGTTTGAAGTTCAGTGCCGGATCATTCCTTAGCTAAAAAAAGAAATGACGAGATATGGTTACTGTGGTTTCCGAGATATCGTGGCGAATTCACGTATATCGATAGGTTTGGGACGACTGCATTTAAAATTTCTCTGTTTCATACAGAAATTGAAATCTTACATTTTCCAAAGATTCCTCTCTCACACTAAATCCAGTAACTAGTTTAATATCCACCACGGCCATGTTAGAAACATCCTGTTTGAGCAAGCTTAAGTGGAAGAAATTACGTAGAAACATTCACGTAACCTAGTTGAATAACCTTCAAAAATACAATTAGTTGAGAGGGATCAGATCGATAGGTGTTTTCGGGTTCGTAGTGGTTGTTTGGAGCTCCGCTTTTTCTCCCATACATTGAGTGTCCTAATCCTAAGTCAAAAACCAGTAACAAAAGGTTTCTAAGCGCCAATTGTGGACCCTTTTGCTGAATAAAATTGAATTTACTACAAGCGAAACACTTCTTACTTTGTGGTTATTTCCAGCTTTAATGGACTACATTGGGTCGTTTCTTCATCAGGAGCTGAACTTCTCGTACGAACATCAACTTTAATATCAAATGCTGGAACATCTTCCGGTTCCGGAATATTATACTTCACTGACGCCTAAAGAAATGCTTCGTTTATCATTTCCCATAAAAGCCATTGGTTAAAAAGATAAACGACGAGGTCTATTGTTGCTGTTTTTTATACCTGTACCAAAGCACAGCCAACGCCCTGACCCGTTACTTCCAATTTACCGGGAATGATCTTCCGAGGAAGCTCGACAGTTTGTAATGTCAGTTTATTCGGCATTGTTACCACAAAGTTGTGGTTGTAGTAATCACCCATCTTCAAAGATCCCGTTAATTGAATTAAATTAAAATCAGCGCTGTCCCCATAAGCTCGTCCTGCAAACTCGGCTAACGCTTGCAGAGCAACACAAGTGTCCTATAAAAAGAAATTTACAATGTATCAAAATCCTTCTTGTTTTATACAAGAAAAGATCAGGAACAAGATTTTAAGCGTTCTCACTTTAGGCCGGAACTGAAATGTCTAATAATTTCTGGAGTAAGAATGTAAGATCTTTAAGCCATCCATTTTAGACTTCATTAAAGATCTTACCTGTGTTGAAGAAAATCCGCCTCGAGAGTTTCTTTGTCTCGATAACCAGCGAATAATATCCATAATTTCATTATTTACCACGCCTTCATCAATTGGCGTTTGATGTAAAATTGAAAGCAAGGCATATGCTGTCATTTCTACGTCGGCTGATGATTCATGAGGGTAAAATCTTGGATTCTGCGTAGGTTTAATTCCATTAGTCCAGTACATTTGATCCTCTGTAGAGAGGGTTTATAAACGTGTTAATTTTTAGTTAAATATGTCTGTAGGACATCAAAATAATACCTTCATGGTGCTACCTATGCATGATCAAAGCATGCTAAATCAAGTTAACTAAGAGAGAACACAGGAGAGACTTAACTCTACTCACATGAGCTCTGTAGAACATCAGATCATTCTCAGGTGGCCCACAATCAAAACATACTCTTGTTATTTGGCTTACCTTCCTTGGTTGCCTTATTTTTTAATATTCTGAGCATCCTCTGAGCGTCAGTATGGTTTGCTAATGTCAAGGCGTACGTCACAAGGGCAGTTGAATAAGTATCGGTGATCGTGTTAAATCGATTTACGACACACCTGAGAGCTTTGGACACCATGGTGCTCTGAAGAAGAAGAACATTGTATATGCCGTGAATAATAATTGGACGTTTTGAGAAAGAATTTACTTATAAAGTAACAGAAACTTTTTTTTTGTTTGGTTACTAGAATGTTGTTAAGCTTACATTTGTTGTTTCTCCAGCTTCCAAAAGGGCCGTGGTCACATAGGCTGTGATTGTAAGTTCGGTGTTCATGCCCCCCTAAAACACGAACAAAAAAGACCATTCAAATGGTTTTCCAGACGACTATGAACAAGCGTTTTTAATCTGATGATGGTCTTTATTTTTTCGAGTGTTGGATTGTCTTAAGTGATCTATCTCACAGGGGATTTCTTTTGGGGAGGTTGACTCCATTTTCTACATTTATCTTAATCCTTAAGTTGGTATCCTCGCGGAAAACGCGTTAGTATCTTAGAAACTTCATGTAGCATTTCATCAATTATATAACTAGACCTTCAAATTACCTGTAGTCTTCTATTAAAAACTTTTCCGTACTGTGGAAAACATCCGTTATCCAATTGTTTGATGCGAAACCATCTGAAACTGCGTTGGACGTCAGCACCATCAACAAAAATGTATCTTTTCGCCCGGGCAAATGATCGAACTACAAACGCGGTCAACCTGAAAAAAAGTAGTGTTCAGGAATCACATGTGTTGTACTTAGGTTGGAAGAATCATCGTAATATTTTTAATATTTTTCATAGGATGATAGTTCACACTTACATCATACTTCCTTCACTGTCAGATTCGCCAAACGCACTGTACGAGCCGCTTCTTCTTCTGTAAATCAATTCTCTTTGATAACCTGATGAGATAAATATCAGAGAAAATATTGTTAAAATGGTTGAAATAATGGCCCACTTTTCAGGAAAAGAAAAAAACCCTGCTACTGTATGCTCTTGCTAATAAATTGGTTACATCGAAAAACATCCTGCTGTTTCGTACTAACCAACTTTCATAAAGTTTTCAGCTTTACTCTTTATTTCTTCTGTCGCTTGGTTCGTCTGAGTCAAGTAATCCATGATGTAGATATTGGGTGCGAAATTTGCCATATTTTGTTCTCCACAGCCATAAGGCATGCGCAGTAGATCATCTAGGTTCGTCATTGCTGGTCCCATGATGTCACCTGCATAAGAGTGGAGGTCACGTGTCAGTTGTCAACCACATCTAAGACCCCCTGTGATTCTACTTTAACCTTGAATTATCAGAAAGGCTCTAAGCATGCTTAAATCAATCAACTGAGAAAGATCTTTCAACCGAGGGTAAAATACCGAATATTGAATTACCTATAATAGTCACTGTTGGGTATATTGATCCTAGTATGTAATTTCCAGGTACCCTGAGTCTAAACTCTTCCTTGTATTTCTTGTCTAAAAAACAGGAAATGTTTTACCAAAAACAAGCAGAGAAGATGAACATCCAAATAAAACTGACGATCCTTACTTCCTGGACAGAAGAATGTTCCCTGAGTGAACTCCCTTTTGATACCTTCAGCCTGAAAAGAAAAGAGTTTGAAAGTTAAATGTGACTTTAATTTTAATTAGTTTTAATCTTGAAACAACAGCGATTACGAAGACAAACGCAACGAAATTCATTTTTGGGACCTTTTGACATCGTCCGATGTCACTCTCAAGCAGGTGAATTTATTACATTATGGTGCATAAAGCTACATATATTTAATAAATAAGACAGTAGCGTTAAAAGAACAAAGATAATAAGGTATTGTTTGGCGTTGACAGAGTCTGATTGTACGTTTAGACCTGGTTCACACTAGCTCCTAAGAACCGGGGTTCCATTGTATTACCTTCCGATTGACAAAGTATTTTGCGCACCAACGACCTCAGACAAAGGAATTCTTAGGACAAGTGTGCCCTAATATGGAACATCTCATTGATTGAGCAATCGAACTTGGTACTATTAATATGAAAGTTTTTTATAGCTTTAAAACCACTGGCAGAAGGAGCATGCAGTTGTAAGGCCATGTTCCGAAAAACGATGCTTGCACCAAAAAATTGATGAGCACAGTACTCCACAATCGGTAAGCAAGCATCGTTTTTCGGAACATGGCCTTACCACTGCATATACGACAATGTAATTGGACTACGATATACGACGATGTAATTGGCTTTATTATATTCATTTTGTAATCAATGGTGTTTCTGGCAATCTGATTGGTTAAAAATAGTGTGATTAATTCCCAAATCGGACTATTTTTTAGCATTAATCACATCATTTATAAGCCAATGAGATTGAAGCTCTACATCACAATAACCAATCAGATTTGGTATTTCAGTGTAACTATCTAATCAAATTACAGGGGAAAATGGCACAAAATTCTATTACGTTTAATTTTAAATGCCCCCGAAAAATTTCTTGACAAAAATAGATGAAAATTACTCACATTTTATACCGTTTACGTTTCTTTCAACCAATAAATCGTTTTGAATTTGTTTAATTTTTTGTGATTTCAGAATGAATATAATAAAGTGGAAATTGGGTTTCGTGTCCCGCTTCGCTGTCGTGCTATTTTGTAATCACGCGTTTGATTTCACACCAAATTGCACTCCACTCAGTGCAATTACCATTATTAATCAATGATTACAGTGCTTCTTTTGAATTTCAGATCACACTTGCAGATTTGTTTTTGTCAAGTGTCAATTGCTCTTCAGTTTCTCCTATGATTAGTTTTACCTCGACAAGTAGTTTTCGTGTGACAGCATCGTGGACTGGAATTGGTTTATTAGAACAGAGTTTGTCCGATGACGTAGCGGTAGTTGCCGTGACCGTGAGAGGAATGTGTCCGAGGTTAATAGGAATGATTGTGAACTTCACTAATTTTCCTTCGCTGCCACAAACGCAGAGTTTGTTGATATGATACGATGTCACTTTGTAAACGGCCTGCTTGTGGTTCAATTCTAATCTTATCTAAGGAAGAAATCCCAGTGCTGTGTGTGAGAAACTGTTTTGCAGGATAGCGTTATATGCTATGATACTGTATTCATACCAAGATTAATGAGAGGTATATCCGTTTGTAGTAACCCATTGCTAGTAATAGATATGACATTATTTCATATCACTAATTAATATAACATAAACATGTCAATCAAATGGAGTTCTTATTGTTACAACACAACATTTAGCGACGAGAAAAAAACGGGAAAAATTCGAAAAAAGATAAAAAGGAGTATGTCAGATACCAAAGCAGCGGAAGCACAGCCAAGTACAAGTACAACTGCTGGGCCTGTAGGAGCAACCACACAGCTCTATAACCGTAATAAATTGACAACTGAATATTGCACCACATCAACTGACCAGAGATAGCAACCATACAGCCGTACGCTTGGCGAAATGGAAAAGGACATAGAGCAACAATTTAGATTTTTCGAAATCGAGGATCCACAACTAAAGAATGATGGACTTATTATATATGGAGGTCAAGAAATCTAGATTACTCTTTACCAGATCCCAATCTCGAAGATGACGAGGGAGAACAAAATGAATATACGCGCTTTATTTACAAGCTCGATCAGTATTTCTTGCCGAAAAAGCAAGCGAACAAACTTGGTACAGCAAGACGGCGAACCGATAGCGACTTATTATGCCCGAATCAGAGAAATCACGAAAAAGTGTAGCTATACCGATGAAAACGATGCGATACGAGACCATTAATTTTGATCAAAACAATGAGGAACAACGCGATTCGTGTCAAAGCTATTCGTAAAAACTGGTCGCTACAAGAAGTTCTCGGCGAAGAAGCAATCACCGAACCAGCTCAACTATACAAGCGAAAGAAATCAAGCAGAAACTAGAAGCTACAGAAACGACCCAAAGAGTAAAATTTGCTATAAGCAAGATCAATGTCAACGGTGTGGGCGCGTATACACGAGAAAGGCAAATGTCTCGCATACGGAGCGAAATGTCGAAAGTGTGAAAAACAAAATCATTTTGCAATCGTCTGTAAATCACGTCCATCACGAGTTCCCGAAGAAAACAAAACGAAGAGAAGATAAAATCATCAGTATCGACGTCATAATAAACCATGGAAAAGAGAGACGCGAAACCGCCCTTACGTTGATAAACCAGATAACGGAGAACCATACATAAGACACATCGAAATAAAAGAGAACTCGACGGATTCCAGTTCCAATGACAGCTCGTACGACCAAGACTTTATACAACACCTTCGCATTAAACAAACAAATCGGGTGAACAGAAAAAAATAATCTAAATTTTGCACGATGACAATTAACAATGTACCAACAGAAATTGAACTAGATAAAGAATCTGACGCCAACATAATGGTTGAAGAGCAATTTGGGCGACTTCAGAGAATGAGACCCGAAATTCAGCTGAAGTAATCCAGAACAAGCTTCGAGCACTTTTGCAAGACATCCCAGTGTTAGGAGGATGCTCGGTGACCATCAGAAACCAAACGAGGGAGACGCGAACACGCATCATTGTTATCAAAGGAAAAAGTGGACTTTTTATCACCGATCGAAAGACCCACCTTATCCAACTTGCATAGGCATGGTTAATGACGAGACTAGAAACCTAGACGAGGCGGTAAAGGGAACCACCACTACAAACCCGAAACTCGAAGAGATCTTCAAAAAGTATGAAGCAAGATTCCACGGAATAGGAAAGGAGAAAGAGATTGGAAAGACATTGAAATCCATTTACCTATGAACGAGAATGCAACACCGGTAGCTCAGAAGCCAAGACGAGTGCCATACCATTTACTAGAGCCTTTAGAAGATCGCATAAGGGAGTTAATCAAAAATCACATTGTAGAGAAAGTCCCTGAACAAGAAGAAATAGAGTGGTGTTCACCCCTCATGGTATAGCCGAAACCGAAGAATCCCAAGGACATTCGGGTTAGCCTTGACCTTCCCTAAATCAGTCCATGGCAAGAACAACACACGTACAAACACCCATCACCGTTGCACAGTTTTGATAAAATCGATCTCAACCATGGTTATCATCAATTTGCACTTGATGAAGAACCTGAAGAATCTTTGTACTAGATGAAGAATCGCGAAGATGACAGCGATGCCGCAACAACTATGGGAAGTCGTTAAACTTGACCATTCCCTAATGGAGAATACGCAATGGTACTAATATAGACCCGTTTTCGCGCTATCCGGAAGTAGAATTCGCTCAATCGATTGCAATTGGACCGGTCAGAGAGAGATTAAAGAAAATATTCGCAACACATGGAATCCCAAAAGCAGTGCAAACGGACAATGGCCCACCATTTAACCCCGATGAATTTAAGTTGCTTGCCAGAGAGAATGGATTCACCCATAAACTCGTGACACCTTACCAACCAAATGATCGCTGCGATTGCAAAACAAGACCATATCAACCCTCATGAAGCAACATATGACATGCTACAAGCATATCGAAGTACACTACATCCGGCGACAAAACGCACACAATACGAGTTGTTACTGAACTGACAAGTCAGAACAAAGCTGGATCACTTTCCCACGCAAACATCATCCAAAGATGACGTTGTGAGACGGAATGACCAGCGAGACAAAGAAAAGCAAAGAGAAACCAGGACAGACGACATCGATCGAAGGAATACAGAGTAAAGACCGGAGACGCAGTAATCGTTAAACGAGAAACAAAGAAGAAAGGAGAAACGCCGAAATGAACCATATGTATATGTGATAACAAAAATCAAGAGATCGATGGTAAAAGCGAAAAGAATGAATGATCAGAAAGCGAAATGCTGAGACATATCTCGTTTCAAACTGTTAAAGACAGACAACCACCCGAAAGAGAATCGACGAAGCCCTGAAACCCTAGTACCACCACCAGCCGAAGGAGACACACCTATTCGCCAACAAGAACCCCCGAGTGCAGAAACAGAAAATGAAAGACAGCCTCGAATCGAGAGACAAGAAGAAGCACAAGGACTGTGAAGATCAACCCGACAAAAAAGTCGACATTTGAAACACATTTAAAAGAGTGTACGACATAAGATAAGTAAATGAATAGAAAGAACATATTCTGGAACAACTCGGTTGATATTAGGATTATACTGTATAGAGAAGGCTATACATTATTACGTCGGACGCGATAAAAGTAAACTTACTAACTGATAGGGAGGAGATGTAACCTATTACTAATAATAGATATAACATTAATCATATTACTAATTAATATACATAAACATGCCATCAAGTAGAGTTCTTATTGTGTGGATTTAAATATAACCACAACACATCACTCTTGAAAACAAAATTGCTATTGAGTGCCTGCGTTGGTTTTGAATAGATAAATGTAAATAATATAATTCCAAAAGTATTACAATAGACACAACGCTATGGTACCTACATAATTTTCTAGCGGATGCATGGGGACGAGTTGAGTGTATGGATACGAACTCTAGAACAAAGACAGACTACAGTACGGCTCAGAAGTAACCTAATGCGACAAACGCGTTCAGAACGCGTTGCAGTGTTTTCACTTAGACGCTTCGTGTGCCTTCGGAAATTCAGAATAAATTATCGAACAGCCAGTCAAGAGGGTCCCCAATAGGCCTTTTCAATCCCGAATCCCGCACCATATTTACGACCCATCCCCCAATCCCGATAACAATTTCTAGCCTATCCCGATCCCGTCGATCCAGACAAAATCCCGACTAGATTGCGTAGCAGGTGGTCAGTCTGCTACGCAAGTTAGGACAGTTAGATTCCGACTAAAATGATAATAGTGTCAGACCGTGTCAGTCTGGTGCTCTTGTTTATACTGACTATAATAGCCCCGCGGGCAGAAACTGTCCGAAAAAAACCTACAAAAATACGCGAGTTTTACTGTAGTTTTTCCAATAATTTGTAAAAAACGACTCAACAGAAAGATAATTCGTCTATTTAATATTCGACCTGTGGTCGACTAAAGTGGATGATTTGTCCAGCATAACAAGTCAAATAAATGAAGTTGAATTACAAGGCAAACTTTACCGACCCATATTATCAGTATGCCTAACGAATGAGGTGTGAGACGGATAGTTCTTTCATAAGAACAATTGCAATATTTGTGAACGGACTACTATACACGGCTAGTAGATTATAAAAAGGGGAAGCTCTAAGTATATTCCCTATTGTCCCTATTGCCAGTGAACACAATTCCACGGTCTCTAAGTAGACACAGTGTTGAGAAATGTCGATCTTGTCGATCAAAACGTAAATAACTAGATTAGCTGTTTCAATAAAAATTCCTTATCCCGATTTTTCTTCACTCCGATCCCGTATCACGTTCGTAAAACTTCGTAAATCCCGCGTCCCGCAACTTTCAAAAATCCCGAATCCCGCTCACTATTTTTTCTAGATCCCACTTCCCGTTGCCAAAATAATCGTAATCCCGCATCCCGCAAAACCTATTGGGGACCCTCAGTCAATATGCTTATGCTACGGTTCGTTAATTCCGCTTTTAGCTTGCGGGACAAGCGCTATTTTATTTCGCGTAAAAATAAGCGCATGTGTGACTTGTGTATCTCATTCGAAAATGATAGTAATATGTATGTAGCATCTTGAGAAATTCGGACTTGATGGCCTAAGGATATGCTATGCTTAACCAAAACCAGTATTTGGCTGGGAAAACGCTGTTAAAATTGCAGGACTCTTATTACCGTCTTTCATCAAAGAAACTTTCGTAGTAATAGTAATAGTAGTTCGGTACTATTAGGACTGTAGAGGGTGTGTCAAAGTTTCAAGTTTTTCTCTACGTAAAACTTACCGCTGCGCAACTCGGCCGATAATTAAACACAGTTACGATGACTGGAATCTCTTCTCCTCGGATGACGGAGTATGGTAGCGTCATTGAAACAAAGAACGGTTGAAAAGCTCTGAGTGTCGACGTTTCTGAAACTCCGATACCTGTCTTGGACGAAATAGCGAAACCATTTGCCACCCAACTTGTGATTGTACCTGGCACAGTTACTTCAATTGTCTTGTTGCCTGATTCACTAAAGAGGATGAAATTAAATTGTAAAATTGTGAAAAGATCGCTCCATATTAAAACAATGCTGAAAGG